AACAATAAAAATATCCTCATTAACATGGGGAAAAAAGCAGGATTAGGGGAATTTCTGACACTTCTTAACGTCACCAGGGATTAGGGACAGCGGGAAGAGCTCAGGGGAAAGGAAGGATTTGATTCCAATAATTTAATCATGCAGATGTGGCGATGGAAATCCCTGTGGAATGGGAAGGTTTAGGAATCTGCTTGGGGACGAGGCAAAAAGAGGGAAAAAAGGCTGGAATTTGGGGCGAATTCCCCACAGCTCTCAGTAGGGGAGGAGGGAAAGAAATGGGAAGAAACGGCAAAGGAATGATGGGAAGGGGATAACGTGGGAAAAAAGTGGAAAAACACGGATAAAAGCTGTAATAATATGGATAAAACCTTCAAAAAGAGGGATAAAAGCTGCAATGATAATTGAAATAAAAAGTAAAATAAAATAAAACAATATATATAAAATATAAAAATATATAAACATATAAAATATAAAAATATATAAAATCAACCTTCCTGAGCCGTTTAGGGGACTCCCAGTCCTCCCAGTGGCTCCCAGCCCGGCAGTGGGAGCAGCGCGAGGAGTTCCAGCCCTTTTCTCTCCGCGTGCCTCAGTTTCCCCGCGTGTCCCCATCCCAAATCCGCGCGGGGGCCATTCCAGGGGATCCCAGTCCCGCTCCCGGAGCCACTTGGTGGCACTGTGGGAGAAGATTTCGCCGCTCGCTGCCGGATCCAGGAGAATTCCAGGATCATCCAGGAACACCCAGGGAAAGAGCTCCAGGATCAGCGAGTCCAAGCTGTGTCCCATCCCCCCTTGGTCACCCCGAGGAATCTCCAGGAATTCCTTGGACACCTCCAGGAGTGGGGATCCAACCCTCCTTCCAGCCCTTTTCTCTCCGCGTGCCTCAGTTTCCCCGCGTGTCCCCATCCCAAATCCGCGCGGGGGCCATTCCAGGGGATCCCAGTCCCGCTCCCGGAGCCACTTGGTGGCACTGTGGGAGAAGATTTCGCCGCTCGCTGCCGGATCCAGGAGAATTCCAGGATCATCCAGGAACACCCAGGGAAAGAGCTCCAGGATCACCGAGTCCAAGCTGTGTCTCATCCCCCCTTGGTCATCCCGAGGAATCTCCAGGAATTCCTTGGACACCTCCAGGAGTGGGGATCCAACCCTCCCCGAGCCCCTTCCAAGGCCTTTTCCCTTTTCCAGCAGGAATTTCCCCCAATTTCCCACCCTGAGCCTCCCCTGGCACAGCTCGAGGCCGTTCCCTCTCATCCTGTCCCATTCCCTGGGATCAGACCCCAAATCCCCCCGGCAGATCCCAAATTCCCCCTGGATCCCCCTTTTCTCCGGGATCAGCTCCCTCAGGGTTCTCCGTTCCCTTTTCCAGCTGCTCCAGCCCCGTTCCCAGCCCTGGCCCCGCTCCAGCCCCCCGGACCAGCCCCAGTTCCCATCCCAACATCCTCATTCCTCTCCTTTTGTTTCCCCTCCCTCCCCACCCCTCTCACCAAACCCGTTCTGAGCCCCGGGCGTGGCTCCGGCACCGCCTGAACCCCAACCCTGGTGGGGTAAAAATATCCAAAATCACCAAATTTACCAAAATAGCCTTTCCTGCCCAGTTCCTGTCCAGTTCCTGCCCAATTCCTGCTCAATTCCTGCCGGGGGTGTCCATGGGAGAGGCCAGGAATTCATTCCAGAGAAAATCCTCATTAATGAGAAAAAAGCAAATTAAGATGGAGGAATTGGGTGAGGGGCGTTTCAGTGTCCCCTGGAATTCCCAGGCCGGAATCCCGATCCTATAAAAGATGGATTCCCTGTGCTGGTTTGGATGGGATACGCAGAATTCCCAACCCTCCCCTGGCATGTCCACAGCTGAGATCCCCCAGAACTCATCCCAAAATTCCACACTCTGGGCCCGATCCGGGGAACTCCGAGAGCGGCGCGCTCGGAACCCCAAACCCCCGTGGGGTGGGGGTGGTTTCTGGTTTGGGATTTCTGATTCAGCGCTGAGGCCGCTGTGGGATTCGGGGCCGTCTCGGAGGTGACGTCGGAGGTGGCACCGAGGGCTCCGTGCCCTGCGTGTCACCGACCTCAGACGAGGTGTGGGGACCTCGGCCGGGCCCCGATGGCGCTGATTGGGGACAGGTGACAGATGGGGACGGGGACAAACAGGATGAGCGGCGGGGTGAGGAGTCCCGGAATGAGCCCCGCTGACCTCATCCCACTGCTCGTCCACATCCCGGCTGGAAAAGTGTCCCAGGACACCCCGAACCCAGGTGGGACAAATTCCACAGTCCCAGGTGGGTCCAGCCTGGCCCTGGACACTTCCAGGGATGGGGAATTCATGGAATATCTGAGCCAGGGAAGGATTTATCCCTAAAATCCCATCCAAACTGGCCCAGGGAATTCTGGAATGGTTTGGGGTGGAAAGGAACCTTAAATCCCAAAAAATCCCACCCCAGTTCTATGGGCAGGGACCTTCCCCTATCCCAGGTTGTTCCAACCTGGCCTTGAACACTTCCGGGGATGGGAAATCCATGGAATCACCTGGGACCCTCATAGGGAACAATTCCTACCCAAAATCCCACCCAAATTCCCCTCCTGTCCCCATGACCCCATTCCCTCTGTCCTGTCCCTGCAATTCCTGAGGAAAATTCCCTCTCCGGCTTCCCTGCAGATCCTGGAGGGGCTCCGGGGTCTCTGCAGGCTCAACATTCCCAACATTCCCAGCCTGGATCCACTTCATGGCCTCCTCTGGACTCGCTCCAACAATTCCAGGTCCCTTTCCTGTTGGGGACACCAGAACCCAGCACAGAATTCCCAGTGGGATCCCACCGGAGCCGAGCAGAGGGGGAGAATCCCCTTCCTGACCCTCCTGCCCAAGGAACGGGGTGGATTCTGCCCATGGTGGGTGACACCAGAACCCAGCACAGAATTCCCAGTGGGATCCCACCGGAGCCGAGCAGAGGGGGAGAATCCCCTTCCTGACCCTCCTGCCCAAATCCTTCGGATCCAGCCCAAGGAACGGGGTGGATTCTGCCACAGTGGGCCAGGAGAAGCATTTTTGGGGAAAACCCAGCAGGAAAAGGGGGTTCAGCACTGCCAGGACGTGCCTGGAGCCTCGTTGCCTCATCCTGGGAATGTCACCAAATCCCAGGAAAGCGCTCCCAAGGCCAGGAACCTTTTCCAAGGCGGATTCCCGAGGCTCCCGCGCGGCCCCAGCCCCTGGGGTGGGGATTCCAGACAGTTACAGGCCACTAAACCCCCCCTCATTTGCATAATCACCCCAAAATCCACCCCAAAATTACAGCGTCCCAAGGGTGTCATTATCGCCCAGGCGGGGCCTAATTTGCACCAGGGTAATTTAATCCAGGAAAAAAAAAAGCCCAAAAATGAACGTTGGGGACAAATCCCTGGGCTGAGTGTCCCCGAGGTTATTAATTAGCCAGCGTTAATTAATTGGGCTCCTACACCCAGGGTGAGCCACGGGCGAGGCTGCGGGACGAGTTCCTGCTCTGAGGTGGCCCCCGTGATGTCCCCGTCACCTCGTCCCCCCTCCAAACCCCAAATCCAGGCTCTGGAATTTTCCAGATTTCCTCCAAGTGCTGGGAGAGTTCCTGGGGAATAAAGGAAGAGTTAATTAATTTGCCGTTCGAAGATTAAATTAAAAAATAAGGAGATTGTGAGGTAATTGCGGCCCGAGGGCAGCCAGAGGAAATTCAGCATTAATCGACCTCTCAGCAAAGGTTTCTACTTTTTGTTTTAATTAAATTCGAGCAAGTTGAAATTAAAATAGTCCAATTAATATTAGAAGTTTTATCATTATTTTTCTCAATGAAAAGTCATCAATTGATTACAATTTCCTTGTTCAAAAATCCGTTTAAAAAATCATTTAATCTTTTAAAAATGGCTGTGCTTGGTTTATTTTTTATATTGGATAATGCGCCAAATACTCATTAATGAGAAGTAAAAATAAGAATAAAACTCTACAGGGGTGTCCCACAAGCCAAAATCAAGAGGATTTGGGGCATCTCACCCAGATTTTAGGGCTGAAATCTTCTTCCCTTTTCCTGATCCAAACCCCCGTGACCTCAGGCTTGAAATTCCAAAGGAAATGCACAAAAAAGAGACAAAAATCCCCTCTGGAATTGTGAGACCAATTGCGTAGGTCATAAAGATCTTGATTGTCCCTCATCTGCTCATCCTGAGCTCTGCTGCCATCAGCACTTAAATTTTCTTTTAATTTAATTTAATTAATTTAATTAATTTAATTAATTTAATTTAAATATTAATTCCTATTTTCATGTGGTTTTGCAGGCGTTAAAGACATAAACTCCCACCCATAACACAAATATTTACACTAAAATCCACCCTCCTCCGTTTACGCTCTGGAGCCCTTCCAGATTTCCCCAAAAAATCCGAAACGCGACCATAAAAGGATTTTACAGCCAGGATTTTCCAGGATTAGGCGGAACCGGCCTGAAGAGCCGCTGCTATTTCGGGGCGAAAATGATAGGGAAGGGTTGATAAAGTCAAATAACCCGTTTGGGACTGGGCTTGGCCCAGGATGAATCAGGACAACGTCCACGAAGGGTGGCTCCTCTCCAACCCCAACGGGGACCCTATAAAAGCAGCCCCGTCCTCTCCTCGCTCCGCACGGCTTCCCAGGAATCCCACTCGATCCCGCCGGTGACTTGGGTGAGTGGCTCCCTCGGGAATGTTCCCTTTGCCGGGAATATTCCCTTTGTTGGGAATTTTGGTGTTTCTCCGGGATTCATGGTGGACGGGAGAGTCGTTCCCGGCGTTTTTTGGGAATGTCAAGGGGTTTCTCCTTGTTGGAATTGTTGGGTTGGGTTGTCCTTGAGGGAAGGGAATATGGGAGAAGTTCGGGGACTTCTTTGGGTCAGCTCCCAGCTGGAGCAGTGGCCCCTTCTCCATGGAAATTCCGGCGTTTCCATGGGGCAGGGAGTGCTCGTGTGCCCGGGCACGTTCCGGAGGCGGGAATCGGGCACGGCACAGCTCCCCGGGATCAGATCGGGCACGGAGGTTCCCGATAGGAGGCTTGGGGATCCCACAAGGGAGGAAGGAGGGAAGGAGGAAGCTTTGGAGGTTTCCAGACGCAGCTTTTGAGGTCTCTGCCCCAGATCTTGTCTTGGGTTGGGTTAAAGCTCCTCTCACCGGGATCATGGGGATAGATCTTGGGAAACACCAAGAGGTCCTGGAATGAGGCCATGGAGATGCTCCAAGGGCTGGGTGAAGGTTGGGAGAGCTGGAGGGGTTCACCTGGCGAGGAGAAGTTCCGTGGAGACCTTAGAGACCTCCCCGGACAGCAGAGGGGTTGGACTGGTTCTATTTAGGGTTTATTCCAAGGAAATATTCCATGGGATAACCCCACAGGGCAGGATCTGGGGGCACCGCTTGAGTCAGCACCACCGGGTCCCTGCCCATCACCGCATCCCCGTCACCATTCCCGCTCCAACGTCACCCAAACGCGTCAGTGGCGAAGCCAGAGGCCACTCCCCATCCCACTAAAACCCTGGAATGTGTTCCCAGCAGGGAATGCAGAGTCAGGAATTCTCCTTCCTCTTCCCAAGAGGATCCCCCAGCCCCAGGTCTGCTCCTGTCCCTTGCAGGCTTGCTCGGATCTGCAGGATGTCCCCGTTCTTGGACAGCATCGCCACCATCGTCGGCGTCTTCCAGCAGCACGCCCGGGGAGATGGGGACGGCTCCGGGCTCAGCCGCAGGAGGATGAGGGAGCTCATCCAGAGGGAATTCGCAGATTCCCTGGTGGTGAGCGCTGCGGGGAAGGGCTGGGATGTGGGAACGGCAAAATCTCCTCTGGAAAGGGAACGGGGAGGGTTCCACCAAAGGTTGGGTTCCTCTGTGCCGGGGAAGGGAATGGAGAACCCTGAGGGAGCTGGGGGGGCTCAGCCTGGAGGAAAGGGGGATCCAGGGCGAATTTTGGGAAATGAATTCCCACAGCTGGAGATGAGCCCTAAAAGTGACATTATGAAAGATGAAAGGAGAATTCCTGCAGCTCTTCCCATTTTTGCATTTCTCCCACAAGGAGCAGAAAGACAAAAATCCCTTTTTCTCCCGCCCGTGTTTTTTCCCTGCAGAAGCCACATGACCCTCAGACCATCGAGAAGATCCTGCAGTTCCTGGAGTGGGATGGGGACGGGGACATCGACTTTAACGAGTTCCTCCTCCTGGTGTTCCGCGTGGCCAAGTGCTGCTTCTGGTTCCAGCCAAGGGCCCCGTTCCTGGTGCAGAGGACAAAGCTCCCGACCGGAGGAAAATCCCTCCGGGAGCCAGAATTCAGGAGCAGAGGGAGCCGCCGGCAGCTCCAGGAGGAGGAACAAACCTGGGAGAGGAATCGTGAAGCTGAGCTGCAAGGAGACCTCAGGGTTGGGGAGGTGGAAATCTCAGAGGAAACAAGGAGGGATCAGCAGGAAGGTGGCACGCGGAGCAGGAAGGATGTGGAACCACGCGGGGAGCCGATCCCTCGGGAATACCGGGAACGGAGCCAGGAGCCGCGCGAGCAGCGGGAGAGCCGGAGAAGGCGGCAGCCCCCGGAGCCAGACAGACAGGAGGGAGACAGGAGAGACCGGGAGGGGCTCCGGGAGGAAGAGCTGGCAGACGTGAGGATGGGCAGGCAACGCCGAGAACCACAACCACGGCCGGACCGGTGGAGCCGCCAGGAGCCAGGGCGTGATGAAAGAACCCAGCGGCCACGAGGAGCAGATGGAGAAGGTGACAATCGGCCACGGGAACCTGAATTGCTCCGGGAAGAGAGGAGCCGCCACCGCCGGCGTGAGCTGGAACAAAGAGAGCTGGAAGGGAGAAGCTGCCGGGCGGCTGAGCTGGAATGTCCGGAGTCCAGGCGGCCACACCAGTCATACCTGGAGGAACCGTTAGAGATCGACCTCGGGCAATGTGGGAGAGCAGAGCCCGAGGAACGTGGCTACGGACGGAGAACAAAGCAGGAACGAGAGCTGGAATCTGTGGAAAGAGAAAGGGAGATCCGGGAGGAGCAGGAGAGGGAAGAAAGAGATGACCCCAGAAGAAAAGGGAGAATGAGAGAGAGGAGGGTGGATCAGGAACGGGAACTGGAGGTGGACGTGTCTGAGCTGCGCACACAGGAGAGACGAGAGCGTGACATTCGTGAGATTGAAAATGATGGAAGGAGACAGAGAGAAACAGTGAGGTACGAAAGGGAGAGAGAGATCTCAGTGGCAGCAGCAGAAGCCGATGTCAAAGTGCGCCGTGAGATCCGGGAACGAGGTGAGGAGCTGAGAAGGAGAGAGCGTCCCTGTGAGGATGAGGAGGAAGCAGAACCACAGAGGAGAATTTCCCGGGTTAGAGAGAGGGAAGAGGCTGTTAGGGAGAGGAGAATCAACCGTGAACAAGAGCTGGAGGTGTCTGAGCGCCGGACGCGGGACAGGGAGGATGAAGTGGCCACAATCGGCCGGAGAGAGACACGGGAGAGGCAGGAAATTCGTGACATTCGTGAAATTGAAGCTGATGCAAGAAGACAAAGAGAGTCAGAGAGGTACAAGAGGGAGAGAGAGATCTCAGTAGCAGAAGCAGAAGCCAACATCAAAGTGCGCCGTGAGATCCGGGAACGAGGTGAGGAGCTGAGAAGGAGGGAACGTCCCCGTGAGGGTGGAGAAGACAGAAGAATTTGCCCCAGAAGAGACAGGGAAGAGCCCCTGAGGGAGAGGAGAATCAACCAAGAACGGGAGCTGGAGGTGTCTGGGCGCCGGACACGGGAAAGGGAAGAAGTGGCCAGAGTCAGCCGGGGAGAGACACGGGAGAGACGAGAGCGCGACATTGACATTCGTGAGATTCATGATGATGGAAGCAGAGAGCGAGAATCAGTGAGGTTTGAAAGGGGGAGAGAGATCTCAGTGGCAGCAGCAGAAGCCGATGTTGAAGTGCGCCGAGAGATCCGGGAACGAGGTGAGGAGCTGCGACGGAGAGAACGCCCCTGTGAGGATGAGGAGGAAGCAGAACCAGAGAGGAGAATCTCCCAGGTCAGAGAGAGGGAAGAGGCCGTCAGGGAGAGGAGAATCGATCGGCAATGGGAGCTGGAGGGCTCTGAGCGCCGGACACGGGAAAGGGAGGAAGAAGTGGCTGTCATTGGCCGGAGAGAGGCACGGGACAGACGAGAGCGAGACATTCGTGAGACTGAAGATGATGACAGGAGACAAAGAGAACCAGTGAGGTACGAGAGGGAGAGAGAGATCTCAGTGGCAGCAGCAGAAGCCGACATCAGAGTGCGCCGAGAGATCCGGGAACAGGAACCACGAGAGGAGCTGAGAAGGAGGGAACGTCCCTGTGAGCGTGAGGAGGAAGCAGAACCAGAGAGGAGAATCTCCCGGGTCAGAGAGAGGGAAGAGGCCGTGAGAGAGCGGAGAATTGATCGGCAACGGGAGCTGGAGCTGGAGGGCTCTGAGCGCCGCACACGGGAAAGGGAGGAAGAAGTGGCCAGAGTCAGCCGGAGAGAGACACGCGACAGACGAGAGCGTGACATTCGTGAGGCTGAAGATGAGAGACGGAGAGAACAAGATGTGTATGACAGGAGAAGAGAGAGAGACACGGGAGAGACGAGAGCGTGACATTCGTGAGGCTGAAGATGATGCCAGGAGGGAACAAGAAGTGTATGACAGGAGAAGAGAGATCTCAGTAGAAGCCGATGTTGAAGTGCGCCGTGAGATCCGGGAACGAGGTGAGGAGCTGAGAAGGACAGAACGTCCCCGTGAGCATGAGGAGGAAGCAGAACCAGAGAGGAGAATCTCCCGGGTCAGAGAGAGGGAAGAGGCCGCGAGGGAGAGGAGAATCAACCGTGAACGGGAGCTGGAGGGCTCTGAGCGCCGCAGCCGCCGGACACGGGACAGGGAGGCAGAAGTGACCATCACTGACCAGAGGGAGGCACGTGATGAGATCAGGCTGGAGGTCCTGGAGGAAGAAGATGAGGAGGAGCTGGAGCAGGGCCAGTGCCGGTACCAGACCCTGGATGTGGACACCGGCGATCTCTGCCCCCCAGGACAGGAGGTGCCCGTCAGTGACCTCAGGGTCCGGTACCGCCCCGCTGACCCCGATGTCCGGCCCGAGGTCCGGCTGCTCCCCGAGCCCGTGGAGCCTCAGACCGTCGCCTACTTGGTGCACGTGATCCAGAACCTGGAGGACCCCAAGGCCGCCACCTACGAGATCGTGTGCCGCCAGCCCGGCCAGCAGGGCCAGCCCGTGCGCGTCCGGACCTGCTCCGTGTCCCCACGGCCACCAAGCGACCGCCGGGGCCACCCCGAGGCACCGACATCCAAACGCCAGGAAAACCGCGAGGGTCTGGATGAGCCCCGGGAAAGATCCGGAAAAGAGGTGAAGGACGGAGCCCTCCGGGATTCCGCTGAGCCGGAGGCTGTGAAAGGCGAGCGGGTGAAATCCAAGGAGATCCGGAGGCGCCCCGAGATCCCTGAGGTGGAGCAGGATCAGCCCCAGGGTGAGGAGCCCCAGAAGGTCCCACGGGAGCCCGGATCCGGCTGCCAGCGGAGAGAGCGCGAGGACAGCGAGGCCAAGAGCTGCATCCCCCCGGAATGCCGGGATGCGGAGCGGAGAGACCCCGGAGAGACCCGTGGAGAGGGAATCCAGGAGGGTCAGGAGGCTCCTGAGGAGGAACCCAGCAAGAGGAGCCCCCGGGAACCCGGCAATTCCCAGCTTTCTCGGGAAGGTGGCACCAAGCAGGGCCAGGAGCCCCCGCAGGAGGCCCTGAGCCGCCCCAGAGATGAATCCAAGACATCCTGAGGGGAATCCGCCTCTCCCTGGAGCCTCTCCAGGTCCTTTTGAGGGTCACTTCTGCCCCCCATTGCCAGCTCGGGATGTGGTGGCCCAGCAGTGATGGACTCAAAAGGATCCTGGGGTGTCCAGTGGGGTGTGGGGGCTTTTCCCTGGAATGAATCCTCAGCAGGAAGCGAGATCCCCCCTGGATTGGGAGTTCCTGCCTCCCTGCCGGGTGTGTCTCTCCATATTTAATCACTTTTCAGCTTTAATTGGAGTTCTTTGGTCCCTCTGTCCTCTTTTGCACCCTGGGGTGTCACTTCAGATCCCCGCAGGCACAGGGCTGGGCTGCTCTCAGCTTCTGCCGTTAAACTTTAAGAAATTCCTGATTTTGGGGCCTGGAAGTCCTCGAGGCTGGGGGAAAAAAAAATCACCTTTTTAGCCTCGATTCCAGCAGAATTCCAGCTCCAGGCCCCCGGGGTTTGGAGCCACAGGGTGCTGGTGGTGGGTGGGGGATTCTCCTTCTCCTCCTTTTCCTTTTCCTTCCTTTTTATCGCATGGAAAATGGGAATAAACGGCTGATTCCTGCAGCAGCTCTGAGCGTCACTTTCTGGAGGGCTGGGAGTGGGGGGCCAGCTGGGATCAGGCATTCCCAGTTGGAATCAGGCATTCCCAGTTTGGGTCAGGCATTCCCAGTTGGAATCAGGCATTCCCAGCTCAGGTGACACATTCCCAGTTCAGGTCAGGCATTCCCAGTTCAGCCCCCAAACTCCTCCTAATCCCATATCCCACCCAATCCCCATTCCCACATCCCGCTCCAGGCTCCAGGGGCTCTCCCAGGGCTCTGTCCCTGTGCTGTCCCCAACTGGGGACAGCACAGGGACAGGAACAGGAGAGGGACAGGAAACTCCTCCTAATCCCATATCCCACCCAATCCCCATTCCCACATCCCGCTCCAGGGGCTCTCCCAAGGCTCCGTCCCTGTGCTGTCCCCAACTGGGGACAGGACAGGGACAGGAACAGGAACAGGACAGGGACAGGAACAGGGACAGGAACAGAGACAGAAACAGGGACAGGAACAGGAACAGGAACAGGGACAGGGACAGGGACAGGGACAGAAACAGGAACACAGCTACGTGACTCTGACAGAGCTCAGTGATGGGGACAGGAACAGGAACAGGACAGGGACAGGAACGGGACAGGGACAGGGACAGTGACACTGGCAGGACTCGGTGGCAATGCCAGGGGCAGTGACACAGCTCGGTGACAGTGCCAGGGGCGGTGACACAGCTGCCAGATCTTGGTGGCAATGCCAGGGACATGTGCCAGCCATGTGGCCGCACAGATGGCGGCGTCTCCATCCCGGAGCCTCTGGGAACTGAACATCCCAAATCCCCGGGATCGGCCCTGGCACAGGGAAATGTCACCTGCCCCCCTCCCGCGATGTCACCAGGGGGTTCTGAGGGGGAGGGAAATCCCAAAGGGAGATCCCAGCTCGGGAAAATTCCCTTTGGGAGAGGTGGATTGGGGAAAACACCAATATTCGGGAAAAATGGGAGTTTGGGGGCAGGAAATTGAGGGAAAAGGGAAACTCTCCCAAGTTCTGGAGGAATTCCTGGGATCCCAAAACTCATCCTGATCCCTGGTTTTTAACCCTTCTCTGGCTCTCCCCTGAATATTTTGGGATTTTCCCTTTTCCTGCTCCAGGCTCTCCCAGAAGACTTTTTGGAGGAAATTTCCCCCCTTTTTCCCCAACCTCCCCGTTAAGATTTTTGGGATTTCCCCCCACTCCCATGCCCGAGGACGACTCCAGGGATACCCCAAGCAGCAAACCGGGATGGGGCAGGATTTGGGAATGCCCGCAAAGCCCCAAACCGGGCCGGGCACATTCCAGGACCGCGGGAGGAGCCGGTTGCCACTGGAAACGAAAATTGCCCAACGTGTCCAAGCTGACTCAGGCCGGGCGGGGCTCTGGAACTTTCCCCGAGCTTTCTTCCCGATCCTACAACTCCAAACCGGAGCGGAGCAGCCGCGTATCCCAGCCATGGTGAGGGATTCCCGGGAGTTTGGGGAGGGAAATGAATCGGGAGCGAGGGAAAAGGAGATTTTCCTGCGAAACGCCCCAAAACCGCAGTGGGAGGGGATAGGGCGTGGTCCCAAGGGAAGGAAAGAACAGGGGGAGGAAACGGAAAAATGGGGGAAAAACAGGGGAAAAAGGGGAAAAAAAGGGAGGGGGGAAACAGGTGAAAAACGGGCGGAAAATGGGAAGGAAACGGGGGAAAAAACAGGGCAGAAACCGGGAGGAAAATGGCAAAAAAACTTGGAAAAACAGGAAAAAACCCGCGGGAAAACAGGGAAAAAACGGTGGAAAACAGGGAAAATTGGTGAAAAACAGGGAAAACCCGGGGTGAGGTGGGGAGCAATGGGGGAAACAGGGAAAGAACGGGATTTTCTCCCAAAACTCGGCCTCAGCCGAAGGCCGGAGCCAGCCCGGCCCTTGGCACCGCCCCGCCGGATCCGCCACCTCCCCGGGGCATTTTCCAGGAGCCGCTCCCGCTGCGGGCCCGTCCCGCTGCCAGGGAGCGAAATCCTGGGAAAATGCGGCGGAACGGGTCCGGCTGAGCCCTTCCCGCATCCCGCAGAAGCCGGGATTGCTCTTGGAAAAGCTGGGGTGGGCACAGGAGGTGCTTCCCTGCTCCCAAAAAAATCGGGATTGCCCCTTGGCACACCTGGAATGGGCACAGGAGGCTCCTCCAGCCCTTCCCGCATCCTGAAAAAAACTGGGATTGCTCCTGGAATGGGTAGAGGGGGCCATTCCCTGCTCCCAAAAAACCTGGAATCGCTCCTGGAATGGGCAGAGGAGGCTCCTCCAGCCCTCCACTCATCCCGAAAAAACGGTGATGGCTCCTGGAATGGGTAGAGAGGGCCATTCCCTGCTCCCAAAAAACCTGGAATCTCTCCTGGAATGGGCAGAGGAGGCTCCTCCAGTCCTTCCTTCAATCCCAAAAAATCCAGGATTGCCCCTGGCACACCTGGAATGGGCAGAGGAGGCTCCTCCAGCCCTTCCCGCATCCCAAAAAATCCGGGATTGCTCCTGGAATGGGTAGAGAGGGCCTTTCCCTGCTCCCAAAAAACCTGGAATCGCTCCTGGAATGGGCACAGGAGGCTCCTCCAGCCCTTCCCTCATCCCCAAAAAAATGGGGATTGCTCCTTGGCACACCTGGAATGGGCAGAGGAGGCTCCTCCAGCCCTTCCCTCATCCCCAAAAAAATGGGGATTGCTCCTTGGCACACCTGGAATGGGCAGAGGAGGCTCCTCCAGCCCTTCCCTCATCCCAAAAAAATGGGGATTGCTCCTTGGCACACCTGGAATGGGCAGAGGAGGCTCCTCCAGCCCTTCCCTCATCCCAAAAAAATGGGGATTGCTCCTTGGCACACCTGGAATGGGCAGAGGAGGCTCCTCCAGCCCTTCCCTCATCCCAAAAAAATGGGGATTGCTCCTTGGCACACCTGGAATGGGCAGAGGAGGCTCCTCCAGCCCTTCCCTCATCCCAAAAAAATGGGGATTGCTCCTTGGCACACCTGGAATGGGCAGAGGAGGCTCCTCCAGCCCTTCCCTCATCCCAAAAAAATGGGGATTGCTCCTTGGCACACCTGGAATGGGCAGAGGAGGCTCCTCCAGCCCTTCCCTCATCCCAAAAAAATGGGGATTGCTCCTTGGCACACCTGGAATGGGCAGAGGAGGCTCCTCCAGCCCTCCACTCATCCCGAAAAAACGGTGATGGCTCCTGGAATGGGTAGAGAGGGCCATTCCCTGCTCCCAAAAAACCTGGAATCTCTCCTGGAATGGGCAGAGGAGGCTCCTCCAGTCCTTCCTTCAATCCCAAAAAATCCAGGATTGCCCCTGGCACACCTGGAATGGGCAGAGGAGGCTCCTCCAGCCCTTCCCTCATCCCAAAAACTGGCATTGCTCCTGGAATGGGCGGGCACAGGGGGCCTCTCCCTGCTCCCAAAAATTCCGGGATTGGCCCCGGCACAGCCGGGGCGGGCAGAGGGGGTTCCCCAGCCCCCCCCGACCCCAAATCCCGGGATTTGTGTCCCAGCCCACGGAGACGGAGCGCTGCATCGAGTCGCTGCTGGCCGTGTTCCAGCGCTACGCCGGCCGCGAGGGCGACGCCTGCACCCTCTCCAAGCGGGAATTCCGCGCCTTCATGGACACCGAGCTGGCCGCCTTCACCAAGGTCCGGAACGGGGGGTCCTGGGATCCGCGGGATGGGATCCGCGGGATGGGATCCGTGGGATGGGATCCGTGGGATTGATGGGATGGGATCCATGGGATGGGATCCATGGGATGGGATCCATGGGATGGGATCCATGGGATGGGATCCATGGGATGGGATCCATGGGATTGATGGGATGGGATCCATGGGATGGGATCTATGGGATTGATGGGATGGGATCCATGGGATGGGATCTATGGGATTGATGGGATGGGGTGGGATCAATGGGACCCATGGGATTGGTTCAATGGGATCCATGGAATGGAGTGGGGATAGGATCAATGGCATCCTTGGGATGGGATGGGATCCATGGGATGGGATCCATGGGATGGGATCCGTGGGATTGATGGGATTGGTTCAATGGGATCCATGGAATGGAGTGGGGATAGGATCAATGGCGATGGGATCCGTGGGATTGATGGGATTGGTTCAATGGGATCCATGGAATGGGCTGGGGATAGGATCAGTGGGATCCATGGGCTGGGATCGGATCAATGGGATGGGATCCTTGAGATTGGGATGGGGTCAATGGAATGGGATGGGATCGATGGGATGGGATCCATGGGATTGCTGGGATGGGATCGATGGGATGGGATCCATGGGATTGATGGGATTGGTTCAATGGGATACATGGAATGGGGTGGGGATAGGATCAATGGGATCCTTGGGATGGGATGGGATGGGATGGGATGGGATGGGGATCAGTGGGATCCATGGGCTGGGATTGGATCAATGGGATCCATGGGATGGGATCCTTGAGATTGGGATGGGGTCAATGGAATGGGATGGGATCGATGGGACAGGATGGGATCCATGGGTTGGGATGGGATCAATGGGATTAGGATGGGATCCATGGGATTGGGATGGGATCAATGAGATAGAATCAATGGGAACAATGGGATCAATCAGCTGGGATGGGATCAATGGGCTGTGATCGGATCAGTGGGATGGGATGGGATGGGATGGGATGGGATGGGATGGGATGGGATGGGATGGGATGGGATGGGATGGGATGGGATGGGATGGGATGGGATGGGATGGGATGGGATGGGATGGGATGGGATGGGATGGGATGGGATGGGATGGGATGGGATGGGATGGGATGATCCAGGTGGCCCCAGCCCTGGGATGGGGCTTGGAGCGGGATGGGATTGTGGGAACATCACCGAACGTGGCTGTTCAAGGATTTTCCATTCCATCCCAAGCCATTCCAGGATTCCCTGAGCTCCCCTCCCTGCCTGGGCAGGGAACTCCCCCTCATTCCAGGCACCAATTCCCGTTTTTTTTCCCAGAACCAGAAGGACCCGGGCGTGGTGGACAGGATGATGAAGAAGCTGGACATGAACAGCGACGGGCAGCTGGATTTCCAGGAGTTCCTGAACCTCATCGGGGGCATCGCCGTGGCCTGCCACGACTCCCTGGTCCTCAAAGCCCCCAAGCCCTAAATCCAGAGGCTCTGGCTCCGCCCCGGATCCCCCTGGAACGCCCCATGGAATGCTGGAAGTGAGGGAACGCTCGCATTCCCTTTTTTGCCTTTTTTTTTTTTTTTTATGGATAAATAAAAGGTTGAAGACCCTAAGAGATTCTGGGATCAGCGAGGCGGGGGAAGAATCCCAAAGTGTTCCTCACCCGCTCGGAATTCCAGGGATTCCCTCCAGGGGTGGGATCCAACCCTCCCTCAGCCCCTTCCAAGTGTTCCTCACCCGCTCGGAATTCCAGGGATTCCCTCCAGGGGTGGGGATCCAACCCTCCCTCAGCCCCTTCTGATGCTTTCCACCCCTTTTTCCATCATCCCAGATTTCCCACCCTGGCACAGCTTGAGGCTGTTCCCTCTTGTCCTGTCCCCATTCCCTTGGATCAGATCCCAAATGCCCCCTGGATCCCCCTTCTCTCCAGGCTGAGCCCCCTCAGGATCCTCCCTTCCCTTTTCCAGTGGCTCCAGCCCTGTTCCCTGGACACTTCCAGCCCCTCGTTCCATGCCCCAGCCATTCCCAGCAGGACGATCCCTGGAATTGCATCCCTGGATCCTCCCCCGTTGTTATTCCCACCCCTCTCCCCTGCTGGGATGGGAATCCACCCAAATTTGGGAATCCCGGAGCCTTTTCCGTGCCCTGGGGCCAAAGCCGGGAGTGCCAAAGGACAAAACTCCACCTGGAAATGCAGGACAAGCCCTCAGGGTTAATTGGGGCGTTAATTACACCCCACTAATTAACACACCCAGCTCCAAATCATCCCAGGAGCGCCGATCCCATCCTCTGGAAAATTCCCAGCTCTCCAAGCAGAGGTGGGAAAAGGGATTAAATTCCTATTTTTTTTGGTGTGTCCGGAGCTGCAAACCAGGAACATCCAGGTGATTAATGAACTTTATTAACGAGGGGAGCTCATTAAGTTGCCATGATGACAACAGAAGGCGTCAACGAACACAGAGCCACTTCCAGAGGGAGCAGGATTTCCCTGGATTCGGGATTTACAGAGCCAATCCCAGGTTTTCCAAGAAAATTTTTAGGATTTTAAGGGGAGCAGAGGAGGTTGTCTCCCAACCAGGATTTGGGAAGAGCCTCCCTTCCCCCTCTGGAAAAAATCTGGGATAAAAGCACAGAAAAACCGCTCTAGGAATAAGGAAAAAAATTCCTGCTAAACGTGGGAAAAAATCTCAATCAGGAATTCCAGGGCAAGGAAAAACCGGGAAAAGAGGATGGGAATGGCCAAGGGGAGGGAGTGGGGGGAAAGCTGGGATGGGGCAGTGGGAATTTCCTTATCCAGGAGAATTCCTAGCGGAACTGGAGGGGGCTGATGCGCAGCCCCAGCACGTCCTTCCCGATCTCCGTCACCTGCAGGGACAAAGAGAGGATTTAGGGGTGAAAATTCAGGATTTAGGGGTGAAAATTTGGGATTTAGGGTGAAAATTTGGGATTTAGGAGTGAAAATTCGGGATTTAGGGGTTGGGTTTGTGGCTGTCACTCCTGGGCCTGTGCTGGGAGCACTGGGAAGGTTCTGGGAGGGTCCTGAATCCCCTGGTGGGATTTGGGTGTGAATTTGAGGGATTTGTGTGGAAATTTGAGGGGACATTTGAGATATTTCCACAGATATTGAAGATATTTCCACAGATGGATAAATTTCCTCCTCAGCCTCCTCCAGACCAACCAGGCCCAACTCCCACAGGGCCTCCCTTGTGAGAAAAACACTCCAGAGCTCAAAATCCCCTCTCAGAAGAGACATTTTTGGGGATATTAGAGATATTTCCATGAATATTGAAGATATTTCCATAGATGGATAAATTTCCCCCTCAGCCTCCTCCAGACCAACCAGGCCCAACTCCCACAGGCCTCTCTTGTGAGAAAAACACTCCAGAGCCCAAATCCCCTCTCAGAAGAGACATTTTTGGGGATATTAGAGATATTTCCATGAATATTGAAGATATTTCCATAGATGGATAAATTTCCCCCTCAGCCTCCTCCAGACCAACCAGGCCCAACTCCCACAGGCCTCCCTTGTGGGGTAGACCCCAAACCCCCTCCGGAAGCACAAAATGTCCGCCCAAAGCACAGCACTGACCCCTCAAACCACCTCCAAACCCCGACTTCTCCCAGCCCCCAGCTCAGCGGGACGAGCGGTGTCCCCTCACCGTGGTGACGCGGCAGATCTGTCCCCGGAACTCGGGGCTGTAGCAGGCCCCGCTGAGGGGACACTTCTCCACGGCCTTGCCGCGGTAGATGGGGCGGTAGGAGGCGGCGCAGATGTCGAAGGGGTTGTGCTGGTCGTAGTTCAGCTGGTGGCTGTCGACGGGGTTCTTCTCGCACGCCGCCAGGATCTTCCGCGTCTGGGAACGGCACCGCCGCGAGCACGGGGAACGGGGAGGGCCCAAAAAGGGTCACGGCGGGGGTTTGGGGACAGGGACACCCCAAAAAAGAGTCACAGCATGGGTTTGGGGACAGGGACACCCCAAAAAAGGGTCACAGCGGGGGTTTGGGGACAGGGACACCCCAAAAAAGGGTCACAGCGGGGGTCTGGGGACAGGGATACCCCAAAAAAGGGTCACAGTGGAGGTTTGGGGACAGAGACACCCCAGAAATGGTGTCACAGGAAGGGTTCCAAACCCGAGGGCCTCAGCTCAGGTTTGGGGACAGGGACACCCCAAAAAAGAGTCACAGCAGGGGTTTGGGGACAGGGACACCCCAAAAAAGGGTCACAGTTGGGGTTTGGGGACAAGGACATCCCAAAAACGGTGTTTCCCAACTTGAGGCCTCATCTGAGGACCTCACCTTGAGTTTGGGGACAGAGCCACTGGGGACATTTGGGGACAGGCTCATTTGGGGTCTCACCTGCTGGGTTTGGGGACAGGGCCATTGGGGACAGGGCCATTTGGAGTCTCACCTGCTGGGCCACCTCAGGCTTGGGGCCGAGCTCAAGCAGGCGCCGGGCGAAGGTGGCGGCGCTTTTGAAGTTCTTGAGCTTGAAGAAGAGGTTGAGGGCTGTGCGGAGCACCAGGATCATGTGCACGGGCTGCAGGTTGGAGTGTGTGAAGTAGGCGGCCATCTGCCGGGGAAAGTAGGGGTTAAAATCCTTGGAAGTAACAGGAATAATGACAGGGAATCCGTCTTTTCCTGTTGTGTTTTCGTTGAAGGCAGAATTCCAAATTTCCAGTGAGGTTTTTACCGCCTCAGGAATCTTACATTTCCCCCTCAGGAATTCCTTGCTTTTCCCCTCAGAAATCCCCACATTTCCTCCTCAGAAATCCCACATTTCCCCCTCAGAAATGCCCACATTTCCTCCTCAGAAATTCTGTGCTTTCCCCTCAGTACTTCCCTAATTTCCTCCCTCAGGAATTCCTACATTTCCCTCCTCAGGAACTCTGTGTTTTCCCCTTCAGAAATTACCCCATTTCCCCCTCAGGAATTCTGTGTTATCCCCCTCAGAAATTCCCTCATTTACCCCCTCAGGAATCCTGCACTTCCCCCCTCAGGAATTCCATGTTTTCCCCTCAGGAATTCCTTGTTTTTCCCCTCAGGCATCCCTCACCTCACAGATCCTCTTCTGCTGCTCCAGCGTCTCCTTGGGCAGCTTCTTCCTCTCGATCTCCATGGACAACCCCACGATGTATTCCCGGCATATGGCGACCAGCTGCTGTGCCTTTGGGACAAAACCGGGGATCAAACCCTTCCCTGGGGACACCCCGGGATTGGGATGGGGAATCCCATGTTTCCCCCCTCAGGAATTCGATGTTTTCCAGGTCAGGAATCCCATATTTCCCCCCTCAGGATGCCCACACTTTCCCCCTCAGGAATTGGACATTTTCTAGGGCAGGATTCCCACATTTCCCCCTCAGGAATTCCATGTTTTTCAGGGCAGGATTCCTGCATTTCCCCCTTAGAAATTTCCACATTTCCCCCCTCAGGAAACCCACATTTCCCACCCTCAAGAATTCCCACCTTTTCTCCTCAGGAATTCTCACATTTCCCCACTCACAAATTCCATGTTTCCCCTCTCAGGATTCCCACATTTCCCCCCTCAGGAATCCCACATTTCCCCCTCAGGAACCCCATGTTTTTCAGGGCAGAATTCCCACATTTTCCCCTCAGAAATTCCTACATTTCCCCCCTCAGGAATCCCACATTTCCCCCTCAGCAACCCCATGTTTTTCAGGGCAGAATTCCCACATTTTCCCCTCAGAAATTCCTACATTTCCCCCCTCAGGAATCCCATGTTTTTCAGGGCAGGATTCCCACATTTCCCCCTCAGGAATTCCCACATTTTCCCCCTCACCAATCCCACATTTCCCTCTCAGAAATTCCCACATTTTCCCCTCAGAAATTCCCGCATTTACCCCCTCAGGAATCCCACATTCCCCCTCAGGAATCCCATGTTTTCCAGGGCAGGATTCCCACATTTCCCCCTCAGGAACCCCATGTTTTTCAGGGCAGGATTCTCACATTCCCCCTCAGGAACCCCATGTTTTTCAGGGCAGGATTCCCGCCGGGATGCCCCGCTGACCTCGGCGATCTCCTGCTTGTTGTCCACCACCAGCAGGGGCACGCTGAGCAGGATCAGCCGGAATTTCTCCACGGCCTCCTCGAACTTGCCGGCCGTGGTCAGCTGGTAGCAGAGCTGCAGCCGCTGGATGAGGTCGTTCAGCTTCAGCCCCACGGCCGGCAGCGCGTTCTTCAGCCCGGCCTCCTTCCTGGCACCCCGAAAATTCCGGATTTAGGGATGTGAGGGCAGCGAGGGCTGTGCGGCCCGGTGAGGGTGGGGTGGAATGCCAGGAGCGGCCCAGGAATTGCTGGGAATTCCCTCCAGGGATGGGAATGCACCTCCCTGAGGCCCTTCCAATGGTTCCCAATGCTTTTCCATGGAAAAATTCCCCCAAATATCCAACCTAAACCTGTCCTGGTTCAACCTGAGGAGTTCCCTCTCATCCCGTCCCTGTTCCCTGGGATCAGATCCCAAATTCCCCCTGGATCCTCCTTTTCTCCAGGCTGAGCTGCCCCAGCTCCCTCAGGATTCTCCATTCCCTTTTCCAGCTGCTCCAGCTCCATTCCCTGGACACTTCCCAGCCCCTGATTCCAAGAGGATCCAGCCCTGGC